CTCTGGACTCCTGTCATGACAAAAATACCTAATCACATATCCCTTTTAAACAGTTTTCTCCCTCATCTGTTTCAATGCAGTATACATTATAGAACCCATCCCTCCATCTTCTTTTGATACTTCCTGGGTCATTCAAGACTTTGACTATAGCATCTCTCAGTATTGCAACTCAAGATTTGAATTTGTTTTTCAGTTCTTTAAACTTGAGAAATGACAAGTTCTTCCCTTTTTATTCTCTGAGTCCAGCTCTTTGCACATACCATTTTAGTATTTTGCTTTGTTTTCTCTAGATGTCCTTTGAAATTATCTGTTTATCTCTTTCACCTTTGCATCTCTTCCCTTTGTTTTATTTAGCTTCTTGACATACTCGTGCCATTTTCATAGTCTCTACTGATATCTCTTTCAGTTTTTGTAATGATCTATTTCAGTCTTTGTAATGATCTTTCTCTCTCTTTATGGATGATGTCCTTGATGGCCATCTCACAAGTCATCTGATCTTCAATCACAAATGTTCAATGCCTCAAACCTATTATTGATATGGTTTTAAAAAACAGATAGGATAGACTCATTGTTTTATGTCTTACAGACTTGTTCTCATCTTCTCCAGCTTCATTTTGAGCTTTCATATTAGTAACTGATGGTCTATTAGACAGTCAGCATCTCACCTGGTTTTGAGAGAAATACGTATATTGTTGTTAGGTAACCCGAGTGCACTACCTTCATAGCCACACTATAAACAACAGATCTGAACCTTGCTCTGACCTATGACATCCTCATGACCTCTGATATGTTCCAGTCACTTTGTCAACTCATTTTATTCCTTTTTTCTTTGACCCCTCCACCTTTCTCAGCAGAATGTCCCTTTCCAGGATTGGTTTTTCCTGAAAATATGTCCAAAGTAACAGAGACAGAGCTTCACTAACCTTGGCTTTAAGGAGCACCCTAGTTGCACTTCCTCTAAAACAAACTTGTTTGTGTTGGCCGTATATAAGATATTCAGTACTCTTCTCTAACACTACAATTAAAAATTATTGATTCCCAAAACAACTATGAGATATCATCTCACCCCAGTAAAAAAAGCAAAATTTAACAGAACAGCAAACATCAAATGCTGTTGAGGTTGTGGAGCAACTGGAACCCTTATTCACTGTTGGTGGGAGTGTAAAATGGTACAGCCACTATGGAAGGCGGTATGGCGCTTTCTCAAAAAGTTGCAAATATGTGAACTTCCGAGTTGTAAAACAGCCCAGTGGTAGATGGAATTTGCTCCAGGACTTAAGAAACATAAATGACATAGCTGAGCCTCTACATCTTGTGGTTCCTAACCTGTACACTATAATAGACAAAGTGCTAGTCTATAGGCCTTTTATTGTAAGAACCACCTTCCCTCTGTAACTTGATTTGTGCCACTA